GAAGACATGAACCTTGGCAAACTTTTCCTTCCATTTAAATCAAAAGTGGGGAGATATCCAAAGTAAAAGTACAGGAAAATACAGTAAAATGTTTAAACATGGGAGAACAAGAAAGTTAATCACATTTAGCTTATTATTTTTTTACTTCTCTCTCTCTCTGAGGACAGGGTCGTTCTATGTAGCCCTGGCTCTCTCGGAACTCTCTCTGTAGACCAAGGTAGCCTAGAATTCACAGAGATCTCTCTGCCTCTGCCTCCTGGGTCCTGAGATTACAGGTGTGCCCCTCTCTGCCCGACTAATACTTCTCACAAAGAGGACGTTTTTGTGGTTTATTCAACTATTGTCACGCAGTATTTTTCTTGAGAATTACCGCTGTAAATGCTCTTTCAGAAAATACTTTTCAAGAACACGTTTTAAGTTTGTCTTTTTGATGCTGCATGCAGTCTGTAAATATTGTGACAAATCCCTAGAGCAGAGATGTAAGTGTGGATAGGAAAACTGCTTTCTTCTCTGCCTAACAATATAATTTTGCGGCTGTGGACATGTCTGGGTCTCAGTCTTTCTCCCGAGATGAGCATTTGAGTTGTTCTCTATTCCTGACTTCTCACGTTGGCTTCAGTCTTTCTTTATTTTGTCCATCATATTTATTTTTTTAACTGATTGATTTTTGGTTGTTTTATTTGTCATGGTTTTGGTATTTTTAGACGAGGTATTATGTAGATCAGGCTGTCTTTGAACTCACTATGAGTCAAGGACTACCTCAAACTTCTGAACCTCCCCGTCTACCTCCAGACTTGTGGGATTGCAGGTATGTATTGCCATGACTGATCCATCATTGTGTGTGATTAAGACCTTAGTTTTAATCAAAATCACTCAAGGACAAATTAGGGCAGAATTTAAAACTAAGTTTCCATTACCCAATTCTGGCTTTGTGTGTGTGTGTGTGTGTGTGTGTGTGTGTGTATACACAGGAGTAAAAGTATTTACCAAGTCAACATGGATATAAAAGTTTATTAAAGACTAGACATTGTGGACAGAAACCTGTCGCGCGCGGCCTTTGCCGATAAGGACGACGCAACAACCGAGGATTTCTTCAGCGGCAAGTTTATTGAACAGCTCTTTCTTGCAGATGGTGAAGGACCCAAACCCCGGGTTGTGCTCTGCTTAAATAGCCAGCAGCGCGACCTGTCCGTCTGTAATTGGTGCTCTGTTCAAGTCTTCATAAGCATATGGCTGGCAATTGGAGTGCAGCCTAAACCCTCATTAGCATAAAGCTGCGCATGCGTAAACTGCAGGGCGGCGCAGGCAAGAAGCGCGAAAATGCTGGCAAGAAGAACCAGGAAGCAGGAAGCCGGCGCCATCTTGTAATGGCGGGAGCGGCTCCCGACAGAAACCCAGTGGATGAATTCTCAGAGAGGATCACCCCGTCTGAGCAGGAATAGGGCCCTTATAGAGTTAAGGGAATAAATCTAAACAAGAAAGTTAAAAGACCAATGCAAGTAACTGAAGAAAATACTAGGGAATGGAAGAAGACTCTAATCACTCAGCTTGACAAATAGGTCTTCACGCAATCAGATGTTTCTTCGTAGCGAAGGACAACATCAAATGGAGACATGGCCTACAGAATGGGAGAAGATATTTGCTAGCTAGACGTCGACAGAGGATGAATAGCTAGCATATGTAGCGGGGTATGATGGTGCCCACCTTTAATCCCAGCAACTGAGAGGCAGAGGCAGGCAAATCTCTACGTTTCAGGATAGCATAGTCTACAGCTAGTTCCAGGAGAGCCAGGGCTACACAGAGAAACCCTGTCTCAAAAAAAAAAAAAAAAGTATAATATACAAAAATTCATCACACTAAACACCAAAAAAAAAAAAAAAAAAAAATCAACAACCCAACTAATGAATGAAGCAACAGAATAAGCTGATAGAACTTAAAATTAGTCAGTGAACATGAAAAAATTTCACTATTATTCACCATCAGAGAAATGTAAATGAAGATACCGCTGAGATTCTATCTCCTCCCAGTCAGAATGGCAGCCATCAGAACTGTCAGTGAGGATGTGAAGGGCACCCTTCTGCTGGTGGGAATCTAAATTAGTCCAGCCACTATAGGAATCAGTACGAAGTTTCTCAAAACACTAAGCAGTAAACCTAAGACATGACCAACCAGTCCTGGGTATTACCCAAAAGACTCCAAGTCAACACATCCCAATGTTTATTGTAGCCTTATTGACAACAGCTCTGTCACGGAAGCAGCCCAGGTGCCCATCAACAGAGTAAGAAAGAAATAAAGTCACAGCCATAAAGGGGAACAAAGTTAGCCCATTTGCAGGAGAGCGGAGACAACCACATTACATTTATTAAGTCAGTCTCAAAAGACAACTGTCACACACGATGTCTCTAATTTGCGTGTCCTCAACTTTATAGATAAATGAGATCAGTCAGCACAGATAGCATGAAAGTGGAGGCAAAACTGTCCAGGGGAACAAAAGGGGCTGGTGAGAGAGAGAGGGGTGAGAAGGCTAGCAGGGTGGAGGGGAGCACACGCAGTGTACGTTACGTGTGTGTGTGTGTGTGTGTGTGTGTGTGTGTGTGTGTGTGTGTGTGAAAAATGACCTTTTGCAACCTGGTAAAATAAAATAGAAGTTAAAACCAGAGAGGGAGAGAAAAAGAACAATTCCCTGGCCTTGTCAGCTATGCCAACCGAGTACAGTCTCTGACTAGAGTTTGAGAGGGCAGCTCACTCTCTTTGAGGTAGTACACCTTATGATCCATTTGTTTCTCCTGGGTCTGGCCGTTTTGTGTGAGGTGCTGTGGGCCACCGGAGTCAGGCCCTGACGGTCTGAGAGGCAGAACAAGCCCCTGAGGAAGGTCTAAGCAGCTTGGTCTGACAATGAAAAGGTAGATGATTTCATGTTCAGCTTTGCCGGTCTTGTCTCTCTCTCTCTAAAGTGTTGAATGACACAGAATTCTTTTGTATTAATATTTTTCTTGTTAAGTAAGTTTATAGTTGCTGTGCATGATAGCCTGCACCACAAGCAGACAACAATAACCAAAGCCCCAAATTTACAGGTATGTTTTAATTCCTCCATAATGGGAGGTGCCCTTCTTTCTCTTTCATCTGCCTTCTTCTCTCCCAAACCTTCCCTGCTTAGGGGAAGCACTAGCCATGATATTGACATACGATGCTTGTAAACAGAAATTCCTAAGAAGAAGCTGAGTCTCGTTGTGAACAAAGCCTTCTGGGAAGAGTTTGTGTCTGTAGAGCCTAGCGGACTGACGGGGATTTCTGTCCTGTGCAGAGATTGGAACTTCGTAGGTTCAAAGGTTAATCTTTCGTCTTGAGCTAGCTTCAGCCTTCTGGAAAGCTGTTCCTTGCCCCGCCCTACCTGAACTAACACCTTGTGATAATAAATTTAAAAAATCTCTTAAAAGCTATTAACTTCAATCTCTCCAGGCTGTTAACTTAGAACTGACATTGTGTCATAATAAACCTCTCAGAAGCTGCCAACTTAGCAGAACATGATCTTCCACCGGCCCAGGAATTAAGGCTGTCACCACACAACAGGCCTATGAAAAAACTTCCCGTCCCCACGGATCTGCCGGCCTCCCTGGGGCGCCCGCCAGCACCCGCCTGTGCTTTTAAACTTGATTTTATGATTTTTTGTTTGTTTGTTTTGCTTTTGTTCTGCGAATCTAGAAAAAACTTTATGAAACTGCACATTGAAAGGCAGTTTCCATTTGGGGTCCCTGAATCTGTGCTTCTGAGCTGTGCTGTAGAATGCATATTCCTGGGCCATGGTCTGGAATTCAGGCTCTAGAATAAACCATGTCTTTTATTTCTGTGAGGTGACGATGTCGCTTTTGCCGAAGTACTTTTAAGAAACCGATAGAAACGTCCATAAATGCCACATTCTTCAAGTTTCACGGGCACTGCCATTGCTGCTGATAGCATGGGAGTTCTCACAGTATTTGGAAGGAAAACAAATATTGTCACACAGGCTTTATGTTGACACTGTCAGAAATCGAGAGTGTTTCTCCAGACTCTGACCATCTCTAGCATTGTAACTCACTTTTATTCAATATATTGTGTTGGAGATGAGTTTGCACCAGCAAGGCTGTGCCTCAAGGAGGGATTGTAGTCAATGTTCTATTGCTGTGCAGGGACAGAAAGGAGAGCGTTTAATAGGGGCTAGCTTACAGTCCGTTCTCTTCCTGGTGGGGAGCATTGCAGCAGGCAGGCAGACATGCTGGCTGAGCTCTGCAGGCAGCAGTGTCTTTCTTTGTCCGGCAATAGTCTGGGATGAGGCTGTCTGTCGGTTTCCAAACAAGAACAGAGGTTCTGCTTCTCTTTGACAGGGTTGGAGTGATCAGGGTGAGGCCCACGTGCTAGGCGAGGCTCCAGGTCTCACAGCGGGAGGCGAAGTGACTAACTGGAAAGGGAGAATGCTCAAATTTCAGTCTATCCTAACCTCCTCCTCCGGAGCTGCTAAAGGGAGAGCTCCCAGCACCTGTCCTCCACAGCGACCTGCTTTTCACTTGCTTTAGGAAACTGCCACCATATTTTCTATGCAAGGACAGCAGAGGGAGAGAGTCAGAGCACTCTCTCTGACAGGGTGAGTTGGAAGAACTCACCCTGCCAGAGTTCCTCAGCATGGAGGAGGCCCGAAGCAGCATCCCAAGACGGCACACAGAGACACTGAGTTGTATAGCATGTGTGCGTGTCCCCCTCAGGACATGCACTACCCCACATGTAGACTATTTTAAAATTTTAATGCAACTCTCTCTGTCTTTGAACTCTCTATGTAGACCATACTGGCCTTAAAATCACAGTGATACACCTGCCTCTGCCTCCTGAGTGCTGGGGTTAAAGGCCTGAGCTACCATGCCCAGCAATACCTTTCAAAATGTTTATGTGGGGAAAAAAATAATCAAGCACACACATTGTGTTAAGGGTCCTCTAGAGAAATAAAAGCAACAGAATGAACATACATTACAATAGGGATTTATTAGTTTGGCTTGCTGAATAGCTGCTGAGTCCAAAATGCTGGATGCCTAATCAGTTCCAATCTGGTGCTGAGGTTGTGCAGGGTTCGCGGAGCGCCACTGGTCTTCAGCCTGTGGTGCGAGCTTAAAGAAGGTAGCTCTGATATAAGAAAAACAAGACGCGAAAACCAAGGGCAGATACGGCAGTGGGGCAGAGTGCGGTGTAGGTGCAGTCGGCTTCAGGACTGGAGGAAACACGGACACTCTTCTAGAAACGGGTGGTTTTCCCTCCTGCCTTCTAGGTCTTCCTTGCTGCTGGGAAGGGCTGTCCTCTCTGGAGGAGGGTCCTTCCCCTCAGGTAATCTTCCCCAGTTCAGTTGGTAGAGTGCCTGCCTGGCATGCCTGAAGCCCTGTGTTCTGATCCCCATAATTGCATAAAACTAAATGTAACAGCACATGCTTGTGACAGTAGGATTTAGAGTCAAGGCAGGAAAATCAGAAGTTCAAGGTCATTTACTACTATGTACCCTACATAGAAAATCTGGTGTGAGCCTGAACTACATGAGATCTTGCCTTAAACAAAAGAAAGAAAAGAAAAGAAAGAAGCAACATTTAATATTCTACTTTAAGTGGTTATCTGGTCTTCCTTGGATTGTCCGGAAACATCACCTCTGCCAGGATTCTCAAATGTTCTCTGGAATCCTGCTGGCAGCAACTTCCCATGTTTAAAATACTTTGTGAAATCAATATAAAAGGGGTCAAGCTGTATTTTCAGATCAGGACAGAGTATGTTCAAGGTGCCCGTGAGCATGTGAGCACAAAGTGAGGGGCCAGTGAGATGGAGTTCCAGGCTGGCTGAAGCCTGAGAATCCTTAGAGTCACTGGGAAGGATGCTGACAATCTCAGATACACAAATACATGACACTCAGGGCTTGGCTGTCACTGATTGGTGGCTTGGCACCACATTTAGAAATGAGCTGTGTGTCCCAGCCTGGCAGAGCTATCAAGGGCATAAAGATGAAAAGAACGAAATGGGAGTGTTGATACCAGAGCAGTTTCCGCTCGCCTTTCTTCTCTTTATTTTCTTCCCACCACACTGAATTAATGAATGAAAACCTCCCAGATATCAGAACTGGAAAATTAGGGAAAAAGTACTGAAATGGAGGGGGAAATTACCATTAACCACTAATACTCACAGCTCTGGAAAGATGACATGGAAAGGACTCTCGGATCTGTTGACTGTCTTCCGCCTCTGTCTGGAAGGAGTGAGTACCCTTTGTGACACTGAAACATTTTACGCTACAATTTAATTTTCCAGCCATATTGGTACCATTTCGGTACTTAGTAGCTACATGTGGGTGATGAAAGCAGTTATAGAGTTGAAATATGACTATTCCATTGCCACAGTAAGTTCTTTTGGAATACTTTACCTCTGTCCAATTATTATCCATTCTTTTTTTCCTTCATCCCTCCCTCTTTCCCTCCTTCCTTCCATCCTTCCTTCTTTCTTTCCTACACAGGGTTTCTCTGTGTGGCCTGGCTATTCTGGAACTTGCTCTAGGCCAGGCTGGCCTCAAACTCAGATCCACCGGCCTCGGCCTCTCCGGGGATTAAAGGCGTGTGCCACCACCATCCAGCTGCTTACTTTCCTCTTTGTGAATGCCATTTACTGTCACACCATAACCATTACGGCATCCTTAAAAGTTTCTTCCGTAAAGTTTGTCTGAGACTAGCTTAGGTATATGAAAATATGTATTTTCGGCACAGAGTATCTCATTAAAATAACTGCCTACAATTTTTATTTAAGACAATTCATATGGAAATAGAATAGCTAAAACAAAGCCTAGTGTTCTGGTGCATGCCTTAATACTAGCACTCAGGAGGCAGGATTGTGAGTTCAAAGCGTGGGCTACAAATGTTTTGTGTTTTGTGTGTGTGTGTGTGTGTGTGTGTGTGTGCGTGCATGTATGTGTGTTTGTGGATAGTGTTGAGGATGGAACCCCAAGCCTTATGAGTATCTGTCTGAATGACAATAAAAACAGCAACTAAAATGAGGTAATTATAGTAAAAATGTAACAATGTTAACTTAGTTCCCAAGACTTACTTATATCTAAGTGGTAGAATTAATTTGGCTAACTATTTTCACAACAGTAATTACTACTTCAAAACTAAAATAAAAAAATCTAAGTGTAGAAATACCTTTATCTTTCAAATGCTGAACCTGTACCAAGCCTTTAATTCGTTTTCCTCCTGTGATCTGAGCCTAATTCAATCATGTAATTAAGAGCTCCATATTAGTGAACGTAATCATTTTCCTGTTAAATCCAAATATTTAACATTTCCTGAAAATCCCCTGGCACATTTCCATGATGACAGAAAGATAGAAATTCTTAATTATCCCTTTGGCTTTAAAGGACATAATGGTGCAGGCTTTAGAAAAAGCCCCAAGTGAGTCATTTAAAAGGTACAAAGCTTAGAAGGCACCAGCCCATCCAAAAAATAGAGATCACCCACAAGAATGTAATTCGTATTTGTTGTGTGACCACCAGCCATTGGAGGATCCTCCACGAAGTATCTAAAACACCCAGTCACTGGGAAACAAACTTACTCTGGCTTCAGTAAATAGTGATGATATGGAATAACAGTCATTATTCAATACATAATGAGTCCACAAGAAAACTGCCAGAAAATGCTGCCGTTTTAGCTATTTAAACAAACCAATCAACCAGGAATGGACAATGCACATATATATTAATTTCCACCCAAACCAGGCAAGAATAAAAATACTTGGGACTCACTGTAAATATCTTGTTAAGAAAACTAGCAGATGTATCACCAGTCGGTGTGAGGTTATTGGGAGACAGGTCAGGAGTTACAAGCTCTGGCTGTTCTTCCAGAGGTCCTGCGTTCAATTCTCAGCACCCCAAGGTGGCTCACAGCCACGCATAACTGAAGTCCCATGGGATCCGATGCCTCCTTCTGGTGTGCAGATGGGCATGCAGATCAAACACCTATATCCATAAAATAAAGAAAAAAAATTTTTTTTGAGACAGGGTTTCTCTCTTTAGCCCTGGATGTCTTAGAACTCTCTCTTTGTAGACTAGGATGGTCTCAAACTCAGAGATCTGCCTGCCTCTGCCTCCCTAGTGCTGGGATTAAAGGTGTGCACCACCACTGCCTGGCAAAACAAATAAATCTTAAAAAAATAAAACAAAAAGAAATAAAAAGGAAAAAGAAGTACAATTGAAAACCCAAACAACAGCACGTAAACAAAGACAGGCACTGATTTTCTTGCATAGTAGACTGTAAAGGATTAATCCAAGCCTGGGATGGGGCGTCACTTTCTGTCCCGTCACACTTAGACCATGACCTCCATTGCTAAGTATGCTTTCCATGCTCAGAAAGCAGCCGTGAGGGCTGCTCTCAGCTGAGCTCCCAGAGGCTGCTGTAAAGAAAAGGGATACAGAGTTCTTGATACTCACGGTACCTTTCTTCCCATCAACGTTTTTGGAGATCCGACTCGCAACTGGCATTGTTGGCTATCCAAATAAGAACTCCTCTTGCACCTACGCTAAATTTGTAAAGCTTCTGGCCATAAGTGTTTACTTTTATCAAAACTTGAAGGAAACATGTTTTTAGAAGTCTGACTTACAGTGTCCTGTAACAACAAGGCCATGTTTACACAAAAAGGAGCAGGAGGAGGAACGCATGAGCAGTGTCTGCAGCCTTGCTGGCCACGTTTCAGAGGGTGTCACGATTCTGTCTGTGAGTCAGGACATAAGCACAAGTGTTTGGAGAACTGTGTTTTTCTGATGTTGTAGTTTAAGCAATTCTGAAACAGCTGTGGTAACGCACACATGTAATGCCAGCATTGTGAAGTGGAAACAGGAAGGTTAGGAGGTCATCTACATTGAGTGTTCCTAGCCAATCTTGGGAGCGTGAAGTCTTGGCCAAAATGGATGGGGGCGGGGACCACTCTGTAACTTCAGCACTTGGAAGCTGAGACTGTCCACTAGCTCGCCCCACTTAAGAAATAAAAAGACAGACACAGAAAGGAGGAGAAAAACATTATTAGCAAATTCTAACCATACTGGAAATGCTCAGCTTTCTGTGTCTAACCCCTAATTTGATTGTTGAGCAGGGAAGAGCATGTAGAATAATATCCAGACCTGGCATTTTTGTGGCTTAAAGTACTGCCCTGAAACAGGATTTAAATGAATACAGCTATACACTCAGTACTCTGTAGTTTATTCACACTTTAAGGGCAAATATCTTCCTGTAGTTATCATGTGAGAACATGCTGCAATTTTCATTCCCATTCAGTAAGAGCCATGATCCCTTTTAAAATCTGTGCATGTTGGCCAGCTGAATGGGGCTTAGAAAATCCCAGGCTCCTCTCATCTTTAGAACTGAGGGTGCCTGTCTAGGGAGCCGTGTGGTTTTCAGAATGGGAAGCAGGGAACACTGGGACTACATAGAACATTCTTACTGTCCACAAATCATTATCTCCTTCTTAAAGCCCAGACTCTGATCCCGAGTGGTGACAAGGAATGAAAGGCAGCTACAGGATCTTGTGTGCAAGTATTCACACATAAGCTCTTGTCTCTGACATGGCTTTTCCATCGATGCTGGCCAGTGACTGATAAGACCTCCCAACAAATTTCTGCATACCTTATCGGGAAACTTAAAAAAAAAAAGATTAACGCAATGAAGTGTATACATGACACTGCACAGAACTATTTACTGTTAGGTGAATGCATGTTGCGGCTGGGGTGCTTTTCTGTTGTTTGAGACAGGGCTCTCCTTACACTGACTGGACCGAAGGGTCCTCCTGCATCCTGCGAAGTCCGTGCTTGACTTTTAATAATTACTTTGGGGAAATAGTTCAAAATTTCTCTTACCTTACTTGCAAGTATTCAGGCTCCACATGATACGTTTATATTTTATCTTTTTGTCCTAGTCACCAAATTCTTCTTCCTCCTTCCTTCTTTCTTCTCCTCCATTCACCCTTCTCCTTCAGGGACGGTCTGACATGTAGACCGGACCAGCCTGGAGCTGCCACCCTGTTCTGTCTCTGCCTCCCCAGTGCGAGGATTGAAGGCGTTTGCCACCGCACCAGCCCATCCACCTGTTTTCTTTAGCACGTGATACACAGGGAAACTCTGGGAAAATAAAAAAAAAAATATTTTATGTGTCTGTGTGTTTTGTCTGCAAGTGTATCTGTGCATCATGCTCATGCCCGATGCACAGAGAGGCCAGAAGAGGACGTCGGGAGTCAACCTATGGGTGCTGGACCCCAGCAAGCACATGGAATAACGTCCAGACCTGGCCTTTTAATGGTTAAAGTACTGTGTTAAGACGGGCTTTGAATGACTATAGCCACACAGTCAGCACAGGCTCTGTAGTTCACTGACACTTCAAGAGCAAATCTCTTCAAGTGGTTATCACTCCACCAAGACCGGCAGGTGATGTTACCCGCCTGAGCTGAGCCAACTCCATGGCCCCAAGCTCTCAGCAAACTTCACTCTTTAGTCATTCGCTGGTTGCAAAGTGTGTTGATTAGGTGGTAGGAGCTGGAAACGTAAAGATTTCTGTCCTGAAGGAACACGCAGCGCACGGCTGTCCACAGCAACTGAACTGCAAGGGGCCTCATGTCACGGCCTTTCTTCCGTGAGCTCTAAAATCACGTCCGCCCGAACTTCCTAAACCAATCACCAGCTTTCCAAAACCTCAGCCCTCCAAGCAAGAATCCAAGAATAGCCCGGCAGTGGCCCAGCACTCGGGAGGCAGAGGCAGGAGGATCTCTGTGAGTTTGTGTGTGTGTGTGGGGTGTGTGTGTGTGTGTGTGTGAAGAGAGACAGAGACAGAGAGAGAGACACAGTGACACAGAGGGACAGAATCCAAGAATAAAGCCTAAACTCTCCTGAGTGGAGAGGCTCATCGCCTAACTAACGCTTTTGCCGGCCAGTGAGACCCAGCAGTTCCACACACCGCGTCCGGGAGGAGCAGTGCTCGGCTCCTGGGAGTTTATAATTAAGCACCGAGTGTGGAGGGTGGGAGGGAAATGGCACGTAATTACAGAGTTCTGTGGGCGACCGCCTGCCGGGCTAAGTGGCTGAACTGCGAGGAGGGGAGGACGCTTTCCGCATTCTTAAACAAAAGTCGCACAGAAGTTCCAGGAGGAACCCGGGAACGAGGTGTCACCGTCCCCAGGCTCGCCGGGGTTGGGCGGGAGGCGCAGGCGGAGGCTCGGCAACGCTGGCCCCCGGTCCCCCGGGTCTGGGCGGCCGTCCCGGGGGGGGGGGG